TGCACTGCGCTTTCATCATACTCCTGGCTGATGATTACTGGGCCACCCCATCCCTCCCCTGGCTCCTGCTAGGCTGAAAGCGGTCAGTAGATAGAAACTGTAGTAAAGTGTAAATAAGGGTCCAAATGTATAATTGATATTTTGTAATACAAAGAAATGGTCTAAAGGTACTGGGCAAATGGGAGGGGTAGGGGAAAAGTAAAAAGGAAAGAGAAAAAAATAAGGACAAAAGGGAAAAAATAGAAATGAAGTCTTTGTAAATAGGGAAGGGTAGAGGGGGTAAGGGAGGCTAGGGGAATGGGGAAAAATAAGAACCAAGATATGTCATGTGAAGGTACAAGATCTCAATGATGAATGTAACTGTACTGTATACCTAAAATGAACCAATAAAAAATATAATATTTTTTAAAAGATAGAAATTGATCTGTTGTGTGCCCCACTGTATCCCCAGCACTTAGCAAAAAGCCTGGCACGTGTGAATACCCAGTACTTGTTGAAAGAATAAATTCAAGCTGCTAGAGTGTTGGGGATGGAAGAGGCTGGCTAGAGGTGAGCTAGGGATTGGAGCTCTTAGGCTTTTGATGACCAGAGGGTTCAAATGTATTCCAAGAGGTAATCTGGTCCATGTGCTTCTTTGGGCCCAGCCATTGCCTTGCCGTGGCCACCAAATCTGGTGTTCTGGGGAAATAAATAGCATGGCTCATCCTCGAGAGAGCTGGCTGATCCCCAAGTCTCTTCTGCCTCAACCAGTGCTTGTGAGATGGGCAAAGAGACAAAGCACTTTGGAATCCGCATCCCCTCGCTTTGAATTAGCAGTTCTGGCCCCATTCCCAAGAAAACAAGCAGCAGGGGAGTGTAACTGAGCCAGGCAGAATTGGGCTTTTTCACAGGCAAACAGGCCTTACCCACTGGTCTCCCAAGTTGCCTCGAGAGGCCACACATCTATCCTGATGGTGCTTCTGGGCTCACAAAAAGTTCTGCAATTTCTCTCGCAGAAAAGCCTTCCAAACGGGCTGGGGAGCCCTGTGGGACACACAGTCCCACTGCAGGGGACCTAATCTTCTTTCAGGTCAGGGCCTGCCTCCCTCCTGACCTCTTTCTTCTTCCCAAGGCTTGGTACCTAAGGACTCTGCCATTTTCAAGAAGCAAAATGCAAAGATGTACTCTCTCCAAGGATTTTTCAGAGCATATGCCACAAGTTTTGAGATGATTCCAAAAGAGTTTCCTAAAATGTTGAAGAAGCAGCAGCGCACTGGAATGAGCAGATGGCTTCCTGGAGGACCACTTGGAAGGGGTCATTGCTCCTTTGGGTTTAAAGGCAGCCTCTAGTCTTACCTCATCAAAAGTGCATGTGTGAAAGTGTGCAAGTACTCTGTATTCACCACGCAGGAGCTTGCCTCTGCTAGACAGGCCAGGAGAGATGTTGAGATAGAAGTCAGGTCCTTCCTTCTGGGTTCTAACCCTGATTCTGAGATTTCCTGGCTACCTGACCCCTAACTCATAGTAGAATGTCAGAGCAGGAAGAAGCCTGCAGACCACCTGGTCCCCTTGGAGATGAGGAAACTGAGCACAGTGTGGAACGCAGGATAGGGTTATCCCACGGTCACCCAGGGAACTGGTAGCAGAGGGAGGTATTGAACCTGACATTCCAAATCCCAACCCAGGTGGCCCATCTCAGCAACACCTCTCTCCATCTGCCCTTGAAAAATGCAGTAAATATACTAATACCCACCCACCACCCTGGATTATCAGGATTAGTGAATTAAAGCACAAGGAAACTAATGGGGGTGAGGAGGATGGAAATAAGAGCAGAAAGTGTCCAATCAACTAAAAGCAGCCCCACTGACTCAGAGTCCAGCACAGAGAGCAGGGCAGAGTGGGAGCTGTTACATGACTGCATCACCAAGTCACATCCCTGTATTCTTAAATATTCATGGACCCAGACGCATGCACAGAACAGCTGCTGCTGTGCGGCCCAGGCTGGGGCTAAGCACACCTCATGTAGAAAATGGGAGCTGGGTTCCAAGAGCATAAGGCAGACACCCTGCACCTCCCGGCCCTATGTGTGAGCAGCCCACGCCTGCACACACCCACATGCCCAGCAGGCGCTCACAGTTACTCACTCAGCTCTGGGCATAAATAAAGGTCAGAGTGACATACACACACCTTCATAGACAGACCTACCCAGCCTACACTCTGCCACCCTCCACCTCCCTGCTGCTTCACCCATGTGCCAGGCCCCTCTCTTTTCTGTCTTTTTTTCCCTCTCCTTGTTCTCTTCCCCTCTGCCTCCACCCAGCACAGGCTGCTCCCAGGACCCCTCTTCCCAGGAAACCTTTCAATGGCCACCTCTCATATCCCATGGTCCCATGGTCAAGTCCGGTTAGAACAGGGCAGGGAAAACACCGATTGAGAGGATACCTTTGATCCTGCTCTGTGTTCTTGTGGGAAACTGATGAGCTAGCGCCTGGGCTCTATGGGGACTGCCTCCCGCCCGCAACTTCAGTGCCTTTACAACCTCTCCTTCCACTGTTCATGTTGGGGGTAAAGGGGACTAGGAAACATAGCCAGCTGTTTGGGGGCCATCCTGCTGCCCAAACAGAGCTCAACAGCCCACTCCAAGAGGGGGCTGGGTGTGGGGAGGCCTTCCTAGGGCCCACATAACCACAAAGAGGGGACCAATTAAGATGCAAATGGACACCCAGGGGCCAGACCAGACTTCGGGGTCCACTGGATCACTCTAACCCGAAGCCCTGCCCTGAGAAAATTGAGCCTGCCGTGTGTAAAGAGATAGGGCCAGGACAGGAGGGCAGAGAGGTTATTTTGGGAGAAAGAGGGGAAGGGGCCCACCCTGTGAAGTTCAGACCAGGAGAGTGGGCAACTGGGAATTGAAGCCAGCCCCTTGGAGGAGAGGATGGTCATGAGGGCCCCAGAGAACCAGGCATAAATCTGTAAGGAACGTGCCAGTTGCTTGATTTACAGTTAAAAAGAAATAGACCTCCTGGCCTGGTCCCTGTCCCTCTTCCAGCACTCCCTGTCCCTCCTCCTCCTCCTCTTTGCCTTCCCCAGAGCATTAACCAGCCCTGCTCCTCCCCATGCCCCAGCACCTCCCTCCTCCTGCCCAATGATCCCCAGCCCCTAGCACAGGGCACACCAGCTCCTGTGAGCGTCCTATCTCCCTCACTGTCTCCTGTTGATTGATGTCTTGGTCCTACCCCAAGCCAGTAAGTTCTTCACATAGTCTAACTTCCACGCCTTCAATTACAGCAGATCATTTTCCTTTTTCTACCAACAGTGAAACTGGAAACCACCCCCACGTGTAAACAAGCCACCCTACCAAAGGAGCTTCCCTCTCCTGTCCCCCAGCGTTCTCCCTCTGTAAGCCTTTCGCCTACTTTACAATCCCTATGAATTTAGCAGGCTGAAAGTGAAATCTATTTCACAATCCTTACCGGCTCCCCACCCCCATTACTCCTTCTGCTGAGCCCCAGATGGTCCCTTCTCCCCAAGTCCTCCACCCACTCCCTGGTACTTGAGGAGAATCGGTTCTGGAGACCCTGAGGCCCCAGCTCCCTCTCCCTGCCTGGACCGATGTCTAGGCCCCGCACCTCCCCTCCTACTTTCTCCTCCACTCCAATGTTTTCCTTTCAAGGGAAAGTCCCTCTCCAAGTCTGACCGTAATCTCTCCTGCTGCATGCCTAAATTCCCTTTCCATCTGACCCCTACGTGGCCACCCCGTTAGGTCATACACGAAATTTTCCTCTCGCCTCTGCTGCCTCCTTTTCCGCAGCGACCCTCCACTTTCCCAGCCAGCCCCTAATTCCTGCCTCAGCTTGGAGAAGTTCTTGGTAACCGCACCTCACACTCGGTGCCCTTAACTCCGAGGATACCTGGACATCTGCCCGGGCTGTCGATTAGGACAGTGACCTGGCCACGCTCGGACCGGCTCGCCCAAGGGGCGGTGACCCCCGCAGCCCCGGCGCAGCCACGACGGGGTTAAGGTTCCGGGCGGGGGTGTTGGTTCTTCCTACCCAGGAGCAAGGGATATCTTTCCATTTTCTGATATTCTCTTCAATCTATTTTTTAAAAGTACTGTAGTTTTCAGAGTAGAGGTCTTTGATTTCTTTTCTTAGGTTGATTCCAAAGTATTTAAATTTTTTGGATGCTATTGTGAGAGGAATTAATTGCCCCATTTCTCTCTCAGTGAGTCCATTTTTCATGTACAAAAATACTATTGATTTTTGTATGTTAACTTTGTATCCTGCTACATTGCTGAATTTGGTTATTAAATCTATAAGACTTTTGGTGGAGTTCTTGGGGTCCCCTATATAGAGTATC